TTAGGTTACTAAGGACATTTTGGAGATTTTTGTCTTACTACAAAAGGATACATTTATATTCCTGATCATATTAACTATATTAGAATTCATGAGATATTATGAATGGTTTAACCTGACTGACACTATATGGTATTCAACACATACTTTTTTTTCTTCTCTGACTCTAGAGATATGACAATAGAGGTTATAGTAAAATTCTCTATATCTTTAAAACATTGTCATGTTAAAAATGAATGAAATACCATAGTTTCTTTCACTGGCTGTTTGTAAGTTCTGATATTTCAGATGATAGAAAATATACCTGATAAGGCCTAACATCCAAAATGTATAAAGAACTCATATAACTCAATAGCAAATGAAATAAACAATCCAACTTAATATGTGGGTAGAGGACATGTGTAGACATTTTTTTCCAAAAAAAACACACAGACGGCAAACAGATACATGAAATATGCTCAACATGACTAATAATGAGGGAAATGCAAATCAAAACCACAATGAGATATCACCTCACACTTATTAGCATGGCTGTTAGCAAAAGGACAAGAAATAACAAGTATTGGTGAGGATGTGGAGAAAAGGGAACCCTTATGCACTGTTGGTGGGAATGTAAATTGGTGCAGTTACTATGGAAGACAGTATGGAGGGTCCTCAAAGTAATTAAAAATAGAACTACCATGTGATTCAGCAATTCCACTTCTGAGTAACCATCAAAAGAAAATGAAAACACTTAACTGTGATAATCATTTCATAATATATAAAAAGTCAAGTCATCACATTATATGCCTGAAATTAAGATAGTGTTACATGACAATTATACATCAATAAAAAAGAAACTACATATGATTAATTTTGTATATGGATCTGTGATATAATCTAATCGATAAAACTTAAAGATCATATTTATGTTAACAATATAATCTCTTTGTACATAGAACTCTAGATTTTCAATATTGTCTCAGTATACTGGAAATATTCTACTGTTTTCTGGTTTCTCTTGGTGCTTTTGAAAAGTGAACACTCTGGCTAATTCTTAGTATAGGATAGGTAACTACTGGAAGCTTTCACTCTGGTTGTTGAAGAGTAGAATCTTTGAAATCAAGATTTCCAATGTAGTATCAATTCTGACAATAATTTACAAACTGTACCGCTAAGAATGAATGGTTGCAGGAGAATTGGCAAATAGACCCTCTTTTTAATGTTCAGAAAAATAGTGTATGTTTACCCAAGTAGTGAATTAGATACAGTCTTATAGAACCCTAAAAGTTTGAAGGGCATGTTACCTTATACATTGGGGAGACATGGCCCACACCGCATGCTCAGTATTATTTAAAGCCTGACATCCACATCAATAGCAAATTCTGTTTTTATTCAGCTTTATTGGTAAACTGGAGCCAAATAACCTTAGATACTTGATTGGTGATTGATCTGATAGGTTTTTCCCATTAAGCTTTGGTGTATGAGTGCCTAATAACAACGGAAATAAAATTCTACCCAGAACTACATGGCTTGGGAATGTGGTAACAGTGTTTTCCTCACACACAAAAAGCATCAAGTATTATTTTAATATCTGGCCCTCTACTTTTTCTTTAAGCCTCCAAAGCCCTTCATGGCATGGCCTTATTACTTCTCCCCTGATCACTGTCCACCCAGCCTAAATATACAGTTTGTTTATAGTTTCCCTGTCTTGCTTCTGATAATATGTGGTTTCAAGAAAGTGTGTTATTGGCTCTTGGCACCACCGAATGTATGATATTGAGTTGTAATAGATCATAAGCCAAGAATAAACTTTTCTGACATTTAAGAAATAAATAACTTTTAGTAATAGGACCACTTAAAACTTCTGAAATAATTTATCACTTGTCACCTACTAAAGAAATGGATAGGGGGCCGGCCGAGTGACTCAGTTGGTTAGGACCTTGCTCAAGAGTGCGAGTGTTGAGCAACAGCAGTTCAAGTCCCGGCCTAAGCTGAGCTGTCGCTGAGCTGCCAATAGGTGGCAGGTGGCTCAGCTAAAAAACAAACAAACAAACAAAAAAACAAAATAAAGAAATGGATCAAGTTAACTAAGAGTGATCAGAAGAAATTCAGAAATATATTTTTTTCAAAGTGTGTATTATGTATCGAAACATATATTTTCATCTATATTTATAAATATTTGTGCTTTAAGAAAATCTTTAGAAGAGAAAGGAATTAATAGGTGGTAAATTAAAAAACCACAGTAGCCACATTTATGAATTAGAATTTGACCTGTCGTTTTTTGTTTTAATAAAGACTAGGTGTCCCAGAAGCTACTGACAGAATAAGATGTAAGAACAAAATTTTTAGAAATTCAAATACACTGATAGCTTATGATAAAAAACAAATTTTTGATAAAGTAAATAATTAGAATGGTACCCTGATTAATGATTTCGTTATATGATCTTCAGCTAATGTGCATGTTTTTATAATTTAACCATTATGCTTTTATTTTTCCCTTCCTCCTCAGTGTTAAAGAACCCAGTGTATAAATTGTATAGATTTCCCACATCTGACAACAAGTGGATGCAAATCCGGGAGCAGATGTCAGAGAGCATACTTTCTTTTCATATTCCTAAGGAATTGATCTCTCTTCACATAAAAGAAGATTTGTGTAGGTAAGAGAACATAATTTATGATTGTCTCTCACATTATTTATTTTCTTCTATAAAAACATTTTTTTTCTTAAAGTATGATGATAACATAAAATTCTAGACCTGCACTGTCCAGTATGGAGGTCATTAGCCCCCTGTGGCTGTTAATCACTTAAAATGTAACTAGTCTAATTGGAGATGTTCTGTAAGTGTAAAATACATATCAGATTTTGAATTCTTAGTACACGAACAACAACAACAAAAAAGACTGATTTCATAGTTGGGATTAAATAAAAAATATTATGGGGCTGGCAGAGTGGCTCAGTTGGTTAAGAGCTCGCTCAAGAGTGTGAGCTCTGAGAAACAGCAGTTCGAGTCCCAGCCCGAGCTGAGCTGCCGCTGAGCTGCCAACCCGTGGCAGGATGACTCAGCTAAAATATAAATAAATAAATATTATTAATTTCACCTGCTTTTTTTTTTTACTTGTAAATGAACTACTAGAAAAAAATTTTAATTAAAGTTTATTGGGATGACAATGGTTAGTAAAGTTGCATAGGTTTGAAGTGTACAGTTCTGTAATACATCATCTATATATAATTTTAATTGCATATGTGACTCTCCTTTGTGGCTTGCTTTATATTTCTGTTGAAAAGCTTGGAGTTTAGCCGATAACCTGAGATTTGACCTTGCTAATAAACCTTGTGTCTTTACCTCATCTGTTTTTGGTTGTTGTTTCTGTAAGAAAGTCCTACTTGACTCTTCTTTGGACCACTCATCTGTAACAAGACTCTCAGATAGCTATTGGTCTTAAAACTCTGAGATGATTGATAAAGCATGCTGTGTGAATAGACAGTATTGTCATGCATCGGAACTAAATCCATCGCTATAATAAAACAGAAGGATGTGAGAGCTGGTTGTTGACGAGAATTTCTCTGAGCCATGACTAATCAAACAATTTGTTTCTCTGCCTTATACCCCTCTAGAGACTAAAAATGCTGAATTCCACATTACAGTAGACACTGTGAAGGCCCTAAATCTCAGAAAATTAGCAAATCTTGTTAATAGTTAACATTTTGTAACTACTGAAATATACAGCAGCATGTGAAATGTCCAAAAATTGGATTTCTGCCTTAGACTCACATTAGTACACCAGATTACTTGCTAGTATTGTACCCCTTTGTAGACTCTGCTGCCCCCAGGAACGCCATATTGACCTAAACCAGTGAGCCCACCACAGACAGTGCAGGTCAAACTGGCAGCATCGACAATACAGTGATCAGCCTCATAACGACATTTTGGTCAATGACAAACTGCACATGGCAATTGTGGTCCCATAAAATTATAATGGAGCTGAAAAATTCCAATTGCCTAGTGATGTCATAGCAGCCAGGACATCATAGCAACAGCAAGCATGACTCAAGTGTTTATGATGACACCGGTGTAAACAAACCCACTGCGCTGCCAGTCCTATAAAAAGCACAGCACATACAATATTTCCAGTCCATAACACTTGATGGTGATAATAAACAATTATGTCATTGCTTTGTATATTTCCTATGCTATACTTTTATTGTTATTTTAGAATGTACTCTTTCTAAAACAAGTTTGCTGTAAAACAGAAGTTGTGTTGTGCCCATAGCAGCATCATATATCTTATGTTTACTGCTCCTGTTGATTGTATTATTTTCTCTATTACTTGATTTAATCTCGTGTCGTTTTATACAGTAACTTGCTGTTCAGGATTGTAGCCTAGGAGCAGTATGCCAGGCCATATGGCCTAGTGTGCAGTAGGCTGAGCCTTCTAGGTCTGTGTACATGCCATCTATGATGTTCACACAATGACAGAATCACCTAGTAATGCATTTCTCAGAACATATCCCCGTCGTTAAGTGGTGCATGACTGTATTTGTTAGGTAGGAACACCTGCAAAAATACTAGATCCAAATGAGGAGGAAAGAGAAAGAAAACAGAAGCTGTATTTTAGAGAAAATCAGACAGCAAAGTGGATTCCAATAAGTTCCCGACTTATGAACGAGTTCCGTTCCTGGGGAACGTTCGTGAATCAGATTCATTTGTGAGTCGGATTCGTTCATAAGTCCGACTCATTTGTAAGTCTGACAAAGTGAGTGTTATACACCTTTGACACAAATATACAATGTAAAGCCAATGGTTGAACGATTCATGTTATAAGAACGAGCAACGTCTACCATCTTTTCGCCTCAGTCCAATCTCTCAATTATTTTCACCTTTGTTTCCATGGTTATTGCTCTGCACTTCCTAGCAGTCCCCTCCCCATCACCACTGCTTTTCCTCTTGCTTCCAGACATCCTGGGCTCTGATTGAGCACTGTACTACTGTACATTGTCGCACTGTACAGTAAGCACACAGCAGCACAACTGTGACAATGTCTGGCAGACACGTGAGCTACCTCCGCGATTTGTTCACATCTACGAATGTTCGTCATGTGAGGTCTGTTCATATCTGTGAAACTTCGCAACTTGAATGTTCCTAAGTCGGGGACTTACTGTATAAGAAAACAACCTGGATTTAGGGAAATACAGTTTGGAAGAGGGACAAGAAAGTGGATATTTGAGAGTAGCAGAGTGAGGATAATCATGCCCCAGAAGTCAGACATCAGGTATTGATTGACTCAGGCCAAGAGGAGCTATAAGATGTACAGGAACCTAAGCAGACTACTTATAAGAGCCAGCTGCAAGAAGGAATTAATACAAGCCAAATTATTCAGTGCTGTTCCTACCTGGGCTAGGACAAAGAGTAGGTGACGAGCAACACCAGTTCCTGGGGAGGGTAATAAGCAGGCTTCTGTGTTAGACTAGAGGCGCATGGAGTTTGGGTCTCTGAAGTCATAAAAGAATGATCACCCTCACCGCTGTTGTACTCTAGACTATTGGACAATACAAACCACTCGCCTTAGAGTCATGTGACGGTCACATGCCATTCGTATCATTGGAAAGAATAACTGTTCCTCACAGCAGTTATAGAATAAGGAAGGGCTCCCAGGAAACAAGCCTGAGTTAGAAGTGTTAGGCAGAGCCTAGCCCCTTTATTTCAGCTGAGAACCACCGAAGATGAGTTGCAGAAAAAGAAGGTAGGGCGCAGCCTTACCCTATCAAATGACACCTGAAAGCCCTATCTAATTTAGCCAGACCTAAATTCCCCACTACAATGTCTAGAAAGACACAGAACATGGAAAATGAGGTTTTCTATTATCTGAAATCTATTAACATAATACTGTATTATGCTATATAACCTAATGACTAATCATTAGGCTGTGGTTTGGGGGTTGAAAATCTTAGTTAATGGACCACTAATGCTATTTCATCTAAAAAGACAGCAAGCTAGTGAGAAAGGAAGTGAAGAGAAAGACCCTTATGACTGCCCCAGTCTGTCTTTTGTCATCAGTGTAGAAACCCTATAACGGCTGAGCAGCTGAACTCCTTGTGTCTCCTGCTTCTGAGGCCTCCCCCGTGCTCTCCTCCACCCCTACCTCCACTCCTGTTCCCATTCGCATCTGTCTGTCTGTCCATTCACTCTCAGTAAATCCAGGAAATAAAGAAAAATCAGCCATTAAGACATTTAATTTTAGTAGGTATATCCCTGTAATTACTGCTTTATTATTTTTTAACATCCATCCTGTGTTAAAAGTTTCGTCCACCCATCCTGTTGCCTTTTCTTTATCTTCTCTGTATGTCTATTTTCCTATGTATTTGCAGAAAAAAATAATAAAATAAAAAAACAAACACATGGAAGAGGCAGTTTTGATGGGGACAAAAGAACACCGGCTTCAACTATAAAATTCCCTTGCAAGGGACAAAACTAGAAACTGTCATCAGTATACACTGAGAATTGTTCAGAGAAGAAAATCTTATTTCAATCTTATGAAACTAAACTATATAAAAACCTGATAGATTCTGAAAATTGTCTAGGCGCTGTGATACAACCAGCCTGCTCCATACACCTTTTGGGTTCTCCAACTCCTTTTCTGTGTGAATCTCCCAACATTAGAATGTGTATTTTAAAAATTTAACAATGAATTTTTAAAATTTTATGAAGAAAAGGAGAAAAAAAATCATACTGAAGACCCAAAAGGGAAATAGAAAAATATTATAGGAAATTTGACTAGCCACCTCGGTAGAGTATTCGAAGGTGTGGTTGTTATGAAACAGAATGAGAAAGCCAGAGAACAGGACCATCATCCTTTAGGGAAAATGCCAAGAAGAAAAGCATAACGGAGGGAATAATGAAATTTTAAACTGCAGCAGCCAAATTAAATCCACAGAAGCAGCAGAAAAGAACAGATATGACACGAAAATAGTATCAGTAATGTGGAAGACAAAACATGATAAGCTCTTCTCAAATGCTAAACATAGGTGAAAAAAAGTTTAAAATGGTGAGAAGGATGTTAGATGTGCAGGGCACAAAGTTAGAAACTACCAAATTATTTTAAATGTTTTCGGGAAGAACAATTAGTACAAAAGTTTGGTAAAAAACAAAACAGGGAAAACTTATGCAGTTTTGTTTTTGTTGTTTTTTTCTTTTATATACTAAAATCAGGCCAACCATACGCTTCTCTGCAGAAGCCCATGGAATAACGTCTGCTGATTTTTGAGAGGAAAAGGCTGTGACCCTACTTTATTATATAGGGTCAGGTTATTAATTTTTTATGATTGAAAGTAATGGAAATTACATATTTAAATATTCTGAACAGGAGCTCAGAAAATGTCACCCACAAAACTTTCTCGGAAAATCTACTTGAAGGTATATATGCCATCCAATTGAGAAAATAAGAATTATATTTATAACATAATATAAATTAATATAGTATAAAACTAAATTATAATATAAAATTAACATGATATAACATAATATAATAGGTTAAGAACGTAAGAACAGGACAGTGCCCTGCCAAAGGACTTGAAACGTTTTTCTTGGTTGGGTGGAAAGGTTGCTCAGATCTTTACTCTGAAGTTCTTTTTTTCAGCGTCTTTTAACCCTAGTCTTATTCAGATCCCAGAAACTATTTATCTTCCCTCAACTTCCCTCCCAACTCCACACTTTCCCTCAAACTCATTTATTTTTCACATTTTCACTCTATGTACTCTAATCCCCACCACCATTATTTATGGCCTGGGACACAGTCTACCGATGACTTTTCTGCTATGGCCTTACTTCCTCAAAATCTGGGAATCACATTACAGACTCCCACAATCTGAAAATGTCATAAAATGCAGATTTCCAGTAGGAGCTTTCTGGAGACAGTCTGGTTATTTAATCTCTTGAGAACTATACTAGAATTTTGTGTTGGGAAGGGAAAAGGGAGACGTTCTGCATACAAAGTATTCAGTATAATCCCTTGGTCCTGAAAAATGTACTGACTTACTCATGCATAGGGGATTTAGCATTGGAAAGCAGACCAGTTATTTGATCCAGCATACTTGAGGGATGGGGGAAATGGGAACTGGCTTATTATGAAGTTATTATAATGGAAGGAAAGGCAGAATGACATGTTGAAGACAGCTCAGAGTTCCTAATTACGTAGAAGGGGTATGTGTGTGTGTGTGTGTGTGTGTGTGTGTGTGTGTGTGTGTGTGTGTTTGTGTGTTTGCCTATGTTTATAATGCTTCAGGCTTTGCAGTTCTTCAACTTGGGTAGCATGTAGACAAGTTATGTAGGTCTTGCCAAACTACCACCTATAA